GCAGTGTGTGTGGTGTGTGTGTGTGTGCAGTGTGTGTGTGTGCGATGTGTGTGTGCAGTGTGTGTGGTGTGTGTGTGCAGTGTGTGTGTGCAGTGTGTGTATGTGTGGTGTGTGTGTGTGAATCTGCGGTGTGTGTATGGTGTGTGTGTATGTGTGTGTGTGGTGTGTGTGTGGTGTATGTGTGGTGTGTGTGTGCAGTGTGTGTGTGTATGTGTGTGGTGTGTGTGTGAATCTGCGGTGTGTGTGTGGTGTGTGTGTATGTGTGTGTGTGGTGTGTGTGCAGTGTGTGTGGTGTGTGTGTGTGTATGTGTGGTGTGTGTGTGTGCGGTGTGTGTGTGCAGTGTGTGTGTGTGCAGTGTGTGTGTGTATGTGTGGTGTGCAGTGTGTGTGCAGTGTGTGTGTATGTATGTGTGTGTGGTGTGTGTGTGCAGTGTGTGTGTATGTGTGTGTGTGTATGTGTGGTGTGTGTGTGTGTGTGGTGTGTGTGTGAATCTGCGGTGTGTGTATGGTGTGTGTGTGCAGTGTGTGTGTATGTGTGTGTGCAGTGTGTGTGGTGTGTGTGTGTGTGTGCAGTGCGTGTGTGTATGTGTGGTGTGTGTGTGCGATGTGTGTGTGCAGTGTGTGGTGTGTCTGTGCAGTGTGTGTGTGCAGTGTGTGTGTGTGTGCAGTGTGTGTGTATGTGTGGGGTGTGTGTGTGCAGTGTGTGTGTGTATGTGTGTGGTGTGTGTGTGCAGTGTGTGTGTATGTGTGTGTGTATGTGTGTGAATCTGCGGTATGTGTGTGGTGTGTGTGTGCGGTGTGTGTGTGTGCAGTGTGTGGTGTGTGTATGTGTGGTGTGTGTGTGAATCTGCGGTGTGTGTGCGGTGTGTGTATGGTGTGTGTGTGGTGTGTGAGTGTGTGAGTGTGGTGTGTGTGTGGTGTGTGCGGTGTGTGTGCGGTGTGTGTGCGGTGTGTGTGTGTGGTGTGTGTGTGCGGTCTGTGTGCGGTGTGTGTGTGTGGTGTGTGTGTGCGGTGTGTGTGTAAAATGTGTGGTGTGTGTAGTGTGTGTGTGGTGTGTGTGTGGTGTGAGTGTGGTGTGTGTGTAGTGTGAGTGTGGTGTGTGTGTGGTGTGTGTGCGATGTGCGTGTGTGGTGTGTGCGGTGTGTGTGTGCGGTGTGTGTGTGTGTGTGCAGTGTGGTGTGTGTGGCGTGTGTGTGGTGTGAGTGTGGTGTGTGTGTAGTGTGGTGTGTGTGTGGTGTGTGCGGTGTGCGTGTGTGGTGTGTGTGGTGTGTGCGGTGTGTGTGTGGTGTGTGTGCAGTGTGGTGTGTGTGTGGTGTGTATGTGTGTGGTGTGTGTGTGAGTCTGCGGTGTGTGTGTGTGCGGTGTGTGTGTGTGTGCGGTGTGTGTGTGTGGTGTGTGTGCGGTGTGCGATGTGTGTGTGTGCGGTGTGTGTGTGCGGTGTGTGTGTGCGGTGTGTGTGTGCGGTGTGTGCTGTGTGTGTGTGCGGTGTGCGGTGTGTGTGCGGTGCGTGTGCGGTGTGTGTGTCTGAGGTGTTGGGACTGATCGGGTATGTGTGTGTGCGTGGCTGTGTGTGAGTGGCAGTGTGTGTGCGTGGCAGTGTGTGTGTGTGAGTCTGCGGTGTGGGGCTGTGTGGGAGTCTGGGTGTGCAGGGGGAGCGGTGGTGAAGTGGTTAGCGCTCTGAACTACGAACCCGGCATCCCGAGTTCGATTCCCCCTCACGGCCAACACCGCTGACGTTTATCTGAACCGGTCCTGGGCCTCCCCTAGGTCGACTCAGCCTCAAATGAGTACCTGGTGCGGTGTGTAGTAAACATTGCCACTGGGGAGACAAAGGCGGCCGGGCGTGGTGCCGGCCACAAAACCCCCTCATAGGTGCTCGCTAACAGCACTTGCCCCAAGAGTCTGCAGCAGGCTACACGGCGGATCTTTGTCTTTGTCTCGGACTTAGAGAGCGGGGAGTGTGCCCAGCGGGTATAGGAGGAGCGGCGGGGGGCTAGGAGGGTTCTCTGGATGGAGGGGATGCGTGGTTGTGGTTGTGGTTGGAGTTACTGGCATGGCGTTTGGTCATTGAGCAGGCCAGGACATGCACAATTATCTCACGCTCGCGATGTACGATGAGGCGTCTGTGTCGGATAACACGTGGTAGGATTCTCTATCGGATGAGATAAGGATTCTGTATCGGATTTCAGGAGGGAAACTGTGCCGGATGACCTGAAGGTTGCTGTATCGGATGAGATGAGGGATCTGTGATGGATTATCCGAGGGTTCTGTAGTGTACAAGACAAGGGTTGGAACCGGGGTTCTATAAAGGACAAGACAAGGGTTGGAACCAGGGTTCTATAAAGGACAAGGCAAGGGTTGGAACCAGGGTTCTATAAAGGACAAGACAAGGGTTGGAACCAGGGTTCTATAAAGGACAAGGCAAGGGTTGGAACCAGGGTTCTATAAAGGACAAGGCAAGGGTTGGAACCAGGGTTCTGTAGCGTACAAGACAAGGGTTGGAACCAGGGTTCTATAAAGGACAAGGCAAGGTGTTGGAACCAGGGTTCTATAAATGACAAGGCAAGGGTTGGAACCAGGGTTCTGTAAAGGACAAGACAAGGGTTGGAACCAGGGTTCTATAAAGGACAAGGCAAGGGTTGGAACCAGGGTTCTGTAAAGGACAAGGCAAGGGTTGGAACCAGGGTTCTATAAAGGACAAGGCAAGGGTTGGAACCAGGGTTCTGTAGCGTACAAGACAAGGGTTGGAACCAGCGTTCTATAAAGGACAAGGCAAGGGTTGGAACCAGGGTTCTGTAAAAGGACAAGACAAGGGTTGGAACCAGGGTTCTATAGCGTACAAGACAAGGGTTGGAACCAGGGTTCTGTAAAGGACAAGGCAAGGGTTGGAACCAGGGTTCTGTAAAGGACAAGACAAGGGTTGGAACCAGGGTTCTATAAAGGACAGGCAAGGTGTTGGAACCAGGGTTCTATAAAGGACAAGGCAAGGGTTGGAACCAGGGTTCTGTAAAGGACAAGACAAGGGTTGGAACCAGGGTTCTATAAAGGACAAGGCAAGGGTTGGAACCAGGGTTCTATAAAGGACAAGGCAAGGGTTGGAACCAGGGTTCTGTAGCGTACAAGACAAGGGTTGGAACCAGGGTTCTATAAAGGACAAGGCAAGGGTTGGAACCAGGGTTCTGTAAAGGACAAGACAAGGGTTGGAACCAGGGTTCTATAGCGTACAAGACAAGGGTTGGAACCAGGGTTCTGTAAAGGACAAGGCAAGGGTTGGAACCAGGGTTCTGTAAAGGACAAGACAAGGGTTGGCACCAGGGTTCTATAAAGGACAAGGCAAGGGTTGGAACCAGGGTTCTGTAAAGGACAAGACAAGGGTTGGAACCAGGGTTCTATAAAGGACAAGACAAGGGTTGGCACCAGGGTTCTGTAAAGGACAAGACAAGGGTTGGAACCAGGGTTCTATAAAGGACAAGGCAAGGGTTGGAACCAGGGTTCTATAAAGGACAAGACAAGGGTTGGAACCAGGGTTCTATAAAGGACAAGACAAGGGTTGGAACCAGGGTTCTATAAAGGACAAGACAAGGGTTGGAACCAGGGTTCTGTAAAGGACAAGACAAGGGTTGGAACCAGGGTTCTGTAAAGGACAAGACAAGGGTTCGAACCAGGGTTCTGTAAAGGACAAGACAAGGGTTGGAACCAGGGTTCTATAAAGGACAAGGCAAGGGTTGGAACCAGGGTTCTGTAAAGGACAAGACAAGGGTTGGAACCAGGGTTCTATAAAGGACAAGGCAAGGGTTGGAACCAGGGTTCTGTAAAGGACAAGGCAAGGGTTGGAACCAGGGTTCTATAAAGGACAAGGCAAGGGTTGGAACCAGGGTTCTGTAGCGTACAAGACAAGGGTTGGAACCAGGGTTCTATAAAGGACAAGGCAAGGGTTGGAACCAGGGTTCTGTAAAGGACAAGACAAGGGTTGGAACCAGGGTTCTATAGCGTACAAGACAAGGGTTGGAACCAGGGTTCTGTAAAGGACAAGGCAAGGGTTGGAACCAGGGTTCTGTAAAGGACAAGACAAGGGTTGGCACCAGGGTTCTATAAAGGACAAGGCAAGGGTTGGAACCAGGGTTCTGTAAAGGACAAGACAAGGGTTGGAACCAGGGTTCTATAAAGGATAAGACAAGGGTTGGCACCAGGGTTCTGTAAAGGACAAGACAAGGGTTGGAACCAGGGTTCTATAAAGGACAAGGCAAGGGTTGGAACCAGGGTTCTATAAAGGACAAGACAAGGGTTGGAACCAGGGTTCTATAAAGGACAAGACAAGGGTTGGAACCAGGGTTCTATAAAGGACAAGACAAGGGTTGGAACCAGGGTTCTGTAAAGGACAAGACAAGGGTTGGAACCAGGGTTCTGTAAAGGACAAGACAAGGGTTCGAACCAGGGTTCTGTAGCGTACAAGACAAGGGTTGGAACCAGGGTTCAGTAAAGGACAAGGCAAGGGGACTGTATCGGGTCCCAAGGCACATTCCGTCATTGACATGAAGTTTCTGTATCGGATAAGTCCATCGTTCATCTGCATCCGTTGATTTGATAGTATCACCACTTTCACGATAAGCATCCTTCTCAACTACATAAATGCCAGTCGACTCATTAAGGATGGACTCGGACCACTCCATAGGAATGAGGAATTTCCACCACGATCTCCGTCGTGTGCAGAAAAATATAGCAATCATAAACCGTCACTGCCTTGGACCGGAATCAACTTAGATTTTTTTTAACTATTGGTTCTTTCGGTAAAGTCACGTAGAAGGGAAAAGTAAAAGAACCAAGAATATGAATCCCTGCAGTCACGAAAGCTTTAAATCAAAATTTAGATTTTTTTTGTAAAACTTTTACCGCTTTTTGAACCGCTTTGAAATGTGTTGGTAATTATCCTGTTGGCATCATGCTCATTATTACACCTCTTGCGTGCTTGAATGTGTGCGTGCGTGTGTTTCATGTTCCAGACATCACATATGCTGCCGCCGACACCACATCCTTCTCTGGCAAAGGCAAGTTGCTCCGTCACAACATTAATTCGTTCAGCCATTCATTCACAAATTCATTCCCGTGCTGTATAACACAGTTCCACTCTTGTCATGCCACGTTTCATCATTCAGCCCCACACGTTTACACATCGACAATGCGTGATGCGCTGCGTTGCAATGCCAGCGTTGATGTCCATGTGAGTGCCTTTCTACTTGTCTCTTTGCATGTTTTGCCAGCGTGCCCGTCCCTCCGTCCGTCTGTCAGTGCATCTGTCTGTCTGCTTGCCAGTACGTCCATTTGTCTATCTGCGTCTTCTTGCCAGTACGTCCGTCCATCTGCCTGCTAGCTAGCGTGTCCATCCATCCGTTAGTGCATCCGTCTGCCTGCTTGCCAGTATGTCTATTTGTCTCTCTGCGTCTGGTTACCAGTATGTCCATCTCTATGTCTACTTGCCAGTGTATGTCCGTCTGTCTGTCTGCTTCCCAGTGTGTCCGTCCTTCTCTGTCAGTGTGCCCGTCTGTTTGCCTGCTATGCCAGTGTGTTTGTCTATCGATCTGTCTACCTGCTTGCTTGCCAGTGTGTCCATCTATCTCTTTGTGAATCCATCTCCCTGTGATTGTCTGTGTTGCCCGTGTGTCCGTCAGTTCATCCACGTGGCAGTCCGTCTGTGTGTCTGCTTGCATCCATCGGCAATTTAGTCTGTCTGTATGTATGCTTGTGTGAGCCTCCTTTGCCAGTCGATTTGGCTGTCTGTCTCTTTGCTTGTTTGTCTGCCTGGCATGGCTGTCCTCTTTATATATCCATCTGACTGTTCGTAAAAGTAAGCAAGGTTTGGGCCGGACACATCGCTAGAAGAGTTGATGGCTGATGGACGAGACTGGTAACAGAATGGCAGCAAATGCAGGGCCCAGAGGACAACCGCAGAGCTGGGATCAACTCATGTGCAGGAGTGAGATGGATTATGGCGTCGTAGGACGATGACAGATTGCAACAACGTAGGGAGGCCTTTATCCAGCAGTGGAGAGATTATGGCTGATGATGATGATGAATTGATATATGATTAATTATCAAAAGCTTGGTGACATGTATCTGTCCAGATGTCATTCAATTGCTGGTTTGGGTTGAACTCACCCGTTCATATCTCTGAGGTTGATAAACAAAAACATTTGAACCACCTTGTGAGAAGTCAGCTGTGGTTGTCTTATGTTTAAATTCCCCCTGCCATATAAATGTGTAATTTCCACCACCTGCTCATCGTCGTGGACAGACGATGAACCCCAGCTCGCGTTCAATTGAGCGAAATAACTTTCACTTAAAACACACACACAGATCTGTTCATCGTCTATACACAATCTCATTATGCATTGCCGTGGAGAATTGTGGGTAGAATCATACATAAGCAGAACTTATTTCTGCATCTCTGGATAAAAATACAGTGCACAATATCTCATTAGCCCACCAGCCTATGGCTTTCCAGACCTATATTATTCAGCAGATATTCGTTTGAGCGAGAAAACTCTGGACCGGTGTCGACATCCTGGGTCTCATCTCTGCTCGTCTGGCTGGCTGTCTGCCTCAAGAGCCACCCGTCCATCCACCCTGTCAAACTATTTTTGGTTAAAATTAATTAATTCATTTCAAGGCGCGCCTCTCGTCTGTGCCGACAGGTTTTTACGAGGGAAAATTAATCGGCCGTATAACCGGTTTTATCGGTGCCCTTTGGATTATTTTTGACACCCAATTCGCAAATGATTAATTAATTGATTAGAACGTTAAAGGCACAGCCCTGCAATTGCCCACTCACGCCACTGCTGGCGGAAAGGGCATCCACGAGAGGGAGTCTTCTAGACAGCGCACGCACCAGAGGGGATATTTTGGCCTCATCTTCCACGCTGGGCAGGCGTCGCGAAAGAGGTGGCAGCACCCACGCCTCACCCCACCACAGAGCGACCTGCCGAAAGATGTCATTAAATACCCCGTATCTCTACACATCGTATCGATCTGAAACGTGACTCTGCATGGTCCAAAATAGCTGTAATTTTCGCCGTTAAAATTAGGTAAAATTACTTCGGCTAAGCTGAAGTTGGTAATGGGAGCCACGTTTTTTTTTATTCTTAGCCCCGGCAGCTGTTTTACACAAAGCGTTGTTATTGTTATTATGATTGTAATTATCGTCATTAATTCAGAGACTCAACGGGGAAATTTCACCGTTAAATCCCTCTCTGACACTTCATCCCCCCCCCCCCTTCGCCCATTCGCCAAACACAACATCATCGTAATCATCGTCATCATCATCGCAACGTCGCTCTTACCGCTTCCTTCGAGATACCATCTGCTCGAAACCACGTGCGCGGTTAAACGATGTCGACGCTTAAAATGTCAAATCGCTGATGTGATTATTGAGTCCGCTCGTGTTGACAGATGGGGCAGCCTGTGATTGATTGTCTTAATATGTGAACAGATGAGAGAAAGTTCACATATGGTGAAAACCAGATATGTAGTCAATTGAAGACGCAATGTAAAAACTTAGTAAATTTTTAGTTTTTAAGTTTGCCTTTTTTCTCAAATGTATCCCAACAAGTCAGGAGGCAAAAGCGTCCACTTGGATCTCTTGCAGAGCAGTGCATCACCTTGCGTTAAAGGCAACGGGCCTGCAGAAGCGGATATCCCAGAACTGCTTCCTGGGGCTCCTTTCAAGTGACCCTCCCTTTACCAGTGCAAAAGTTTAGTCGGTTTATTTCGGGGTGAGGCTCCATTGGGCCGAGCTGCTCTTGTTTTTCCCCAAAGAGGGACCCTCCGACCAAATCGTCTGCGATGGTAGCCGGCAAGTTACACGGCAAGGGAGGGTGTACAGGGGTCGCATGCAATAAGCGGGTGACATTTCATAAACACGACTACAATATAGAAATCCAGAACTATGTACAATGGGAATTCCAGCTAGCGATACAAAATACCCACGTTATGCATGACACTAGCGACAGGGGAACTCTCGTGCGACATTTAAACACAGCATGAACTTACAATTGCATTTTCTGTTATCCACACACGTGTGTACGTTGAACTTCTTTCGCACCGTACGTAGCCAACCGTACAATAGCCAACCGTGCGTAGCCAATCGGAGCTCACTGCACTTTTCCACGTGTCCAGACCACTGCACTGGAAGGCGCAACTTCCAAACGGACATTTAGATCTCTCGGCTCAGATTCACTCGTTAAGATTACATTCGGTGAACAACGAACAACATTAATTTTATATGAGAAATTAAAACCGATTTTGTTCAGAGAAACCAGGAGCGGAAACTGCCCCCACCTCCCCACACACCACCACCCCCATCACGCGCGTGTTTCTTCACCCCCCCCTTAGACCCCACGGGAGAGGGGTCTCCTACCCCACTCGGCACCTCTTCACAGAGGCCCCCTCGGCATCCCCACGACTCTGACTCCGACCACAACGATGAAGACGAAGATGACGACGATGATGACGCCGATTCCATCTTAGACCTCGTCAACCCATCGCAAGCGGTGTACCGGCCCCATGGCTCCAGTCTACGGGACCTGGGGGGCCTGGACGACCTTGGGGTCGAGGGGATCGGGGCTGAGCGAAGCCTCGATGAGGCCGTGAAGGGGGTAGCCGTGAAGGAGGTTGGCGCCTCCCCCCGTCGCGATGTCCGTGATGGTGGGTACGGGGATGCCAAGGTGGATGATGGTGATGAAGATGACGAGGTGGATGAGGAGGTGGATTTGTACAGAGCCGGGCCCCAGGGTGCCGGAGGGAAAGAGGAGGTGCAGGGATGGACCGCGGACAGAGGAGGGGTGACCGAGGCGTTGCGTGATGGTACGATGTTACATCATCATCAGTTACCCATCATTGTCACCCACCATCATCATTACATTATTAGCTTTTATTGCTGGCGTATATTCGTCATCATTCTCATCGGGATGTCTTTGTGGCGAAATCAGCATCATCATCGTGTTATTTACTTCTTGGCTACATAATGATCATAATCGCCTCATTATTTCTATACATATTCATCTTGATCACCACTATCATCATTGCCATCATCATTAACACCATCACCATAGAACTGGTGTTATTATACAGGGCGCTTCAAAAAATGTTAACACTTACATGGGCCTCTTGTTTTTAATGGAAAAAGAACGGATAATACACTGTAACACGATACAAAAAAAATTGTAATGTTAATAGCTTTAAAAAGTCAAAGAGTCTCCACTTGTTCGCCGTCGTTGTCAACACGTGGCCTGGAATCTTCTCCTGGTGATCTCCAGAGCCCGGAGGCAGCAGCACATGTCACGTGGTTATTGATGCAACATTCTCAGAAGTGTGAACATTTTTTTTGAAGCACCCTGTATTTGTTACATAATTATCATCATTACTATCATCATCCCCATATATTACGTATTTGTTACATAATCATCATCATTACTATCATCATCACCACCATATATTACATATCCTCGTATTTTTAATTGAATGATAGTATAACCATCGTTATGGTTGTCATTAGTTTACCATCATGTCATTAGCTTTTGAATGACATCATTATCATGATCCTGATCGCAAATAATAATTTAATGGTTACACAATCATTATCTTGTGATTGCATTCATCATCATCAGCTGTGTCATCAGTGTCATAATAATTGTGAGTGTGTGTGTATCTATGCGTGTAAATGTATGTTTTGTATATATGTAACTGTGTGTATCTATGTGTGGATATTTGTCTGTTGTGTGTATCTATGTAACTGTGTATCTATTTGTGTTTATTTGCATATTGTGTGTATCTACGTGTGTATATTTAAATGTTGTGTGTATTTGTACGCTCAAATGTGTGTGTGCAAATTAATGTGGGCAGCGGTCGCGCAGTGGTTAACGCGCCGCGCTACGAACCCAGCGAAAAGAGTTCGATTCCCGCTCACGGCCACCAACGGCAGTGACGCTGATCTGAGCCGATCCTGGGCCTCCCCTAGGTCAACTCGGCCTTAGAAATTAGTAGCTGGTGCGGTGTGCGAACATCACCACTGGGGAGACAAAGGCGGTTGGTTGGGCGTGGTGCTGGCCTTCATAGGCGCTCGCAAACAGCACTTGCCTCTACGGTCTGTTAAGAGGCTATACAGGGGATCTTTGGTAATCACTTCAATGGGGGGGGGGGGGGGTGGGTAGAGGGGGGGGGGGGTGACCCCCTTTCGTTATCGCAGCTCTGCAGATGTTGGAAGGCGCTGATGATGATTGGGGGGGGGGGGGGGTGATAGGTCACGTGTGGCTCTGCGGTATGGGGGGGGGGAGCGGGGGTGTGGGGGTCGACTCATCATCCCATCATTCCTCCGGGGTCGATAAAATACGGGGTACCACTCTGTGATGGGGGAATCAACAGTGGCTGTGCCATGGACATACTTGCACCCGTCATAGTGACGTGGAATTTCCACCACTGGCCCTGCAGGGCTGTCGACAGGAGATGTGAGTACCAATGCCTTCGGTAACTTAATTGAGCGGGAACTCTCTGATGGGAGTGATGGGGCTAGTGTTACAATCCAGTTTTGTTGTTGTTGTAGTAATCACGTGAACTATATTTTTTGTCTCGACATTCAAGAGCCGTATTTGGAGAATATCACTGCGAATTTGAAGTAGTGTCGGTGTGTAGTTGGGTCGACTCGGCCTCAATTGAGTACCTGGTTCGGTGTGTAAACATTGCCACTCGGGAGACAAAAGCGGCCGGGCGTGGTGCTGGCCACCCACCCCCTCGTGTGCTGTGCCATCCTTCATAGGTGTTCACGAAAAACAGCACTTGGCCTAGCAGTCTGTTAAGGCTATACGGGGGATCTTTGTGTATGATCGTGTGTGCATTTGTGGGTCTGTGCAGTTGTGGGTCTGTAGGAGGACATGTGTGAGTGCACTTGCCAACAGTCCTTTAAGGCTTTCCTGGTGTGGGTGTGTAGGCGGATATGTGTGTACTGTGTTGTGTATTTATACAGAACGTCGGTATTTATGCAGAACAGCACTCGCTCCAACAATCTGTTAAAGGATATACAGGGGAGCAGACAGGTTTGGACAGAGTCGAGTTTTCACGCCCATGACATCAAAAAAGCGCTGGCATTTTTAATTGCGCGGTGTGTTTGTGTGTGCACGCGCGCGTGCGTGCGTGTAAGTATGTGTGTGGGGAGCGGTGGTGCAGCGGTTAGCGCTACGCTGCGCTACGAACCCGGCGACCGGAGTTCGATTCCCGCCCGCGGCCAACGCCGAAAGTGACGATTATCTCGAACCGATCCTGGGCCTCCCCTAGGTCGACTCAGCCTCAAATGAGTACAGTACCTTGTGCGGTGTTTAAATATTCCCACTAGGGAGACAAAGGCAGCCGGGCGTGGTTCTGGCCACCCACCCCCTCGTGTGCCGTGCCGGCCTTCGTAGGTGCTGCTCGCTAACAGCACTTGACCCCTACAGTTCATTAATACCCCCCCCCCTCCTCCACTTCGCGCAAGAAGAGCTCACAAGTGACGTCATCACATCAACCCCTCTATTTAAGGAACGAATCAGGAGGATTTCTCCACAAATCTGGCTGTCGCCTGATTATGCCGGTTTTAATTGCTGGCGAAACGTCGTACTCAGATTGTAAATGTTGCTTGCTTGGCTCTCCGACACACCGGTTTGTGCTGTACTAGTGACGAATTGGCCACGTTCTGATCACGTGACAACCCTTACTAGTTGGCCGTGTCGGGTGGTTGGCGGGTTTAGCGACGCAACATTTATATATTTACGCGAGCTAACCCAAAAACAACCTCTGTTGTGGATATTTGTCTTTGTTGGGATGAGCGACGACGCGGTGCATCTACCACGTTCAATGAGGACTTACCGTACCCTCCACTCCAGGGTGGGACGGGGGGGGGGTGTTGACCATACTTCACCGCGGTGGTGGGAGGGGAATGGAACTCGGGTCGCCGGATTTATAGAGCAGTGAGCCAATCTCCATGGCAACGCTTCACAAGCCCCCCCCCCTCCCCCCCGCCAAACTTATAACACGTTGGCATTTTTAAATTAACGGACACTAAACACTCGAGCACAAATGTGCGGGCGAGTTGATGTGATTAACGCCAAGCGATGTAATCTGCGTCTCTCTAGGAGATGTGGAGCTGGCTCGGGAAGAGGGGGCGGGGGGTGGCGGAGGGAGCGCGAGCGGAATGGGAAGGACTGCGAGTCGGGGTTGCCACCTCTTGCGCAGACCAAACCCGGACCCACGTCTCAGTCGCAGACGCCGGCTGTCACATGTTCAGGTTAAAACCTGGACAGGTGGCAACCGGCGCAATTTACTGACTCGGAACATGAATGAGCGAGTGAGTGGGTGGGTGTGTGGCTTGGTGGTTAAATGAGTGAGTGGGTGGGTGTGTGGCTTGGTGGTCAAATGAGTGAGTGGGTGGGTGTGTGGCTTGGTGGTTAAATGAGTGAGTGGGTGGGTGAGTGGTAGTGCTGCCACCTTTTTCACTTGAGACCAAACCCTCAAGACAGATCTCTCAGCCAGCCCTGCGGAGTGTGTTCTCATCAACCGTGCTGTTCACTGCGATGAAGTCCGACACAAGGACGCCGGCAACGGATCTCGGTCATAAACCGATTTGCTGCCGCTCCAAACGCAGACGCCGATTCCCGGACTGCACCGAGTCGAACCAGGAGACGTGGCAACCCTTGGCCGGGTCGGGATACATGCACATGGTCTCTAACACCGGGGCAAACTCGCTGGTTTCATTAACCAATTCCCTGTTATTTACATGAAGACCACGTGGCGAGTCTGCGCCGTTTCACACGCTGCTCGGTTTTGCCCGCTCCGCGACATTTAGACATTTACAAAAAATATATATTTTTTAAAATATACATTTTATAATATCACAATATTATTTCCAATAATATATTATATCATAATTATGTAAGAATACATTTGAAAATTTTTCACCAATATTTCTAGGGATCTCAGCGGAAAACCCCACCGATGTTGTGATGTGCGAGAGGCCGCGGTATGCGGTGTGGCCGGATTCATAGGGTGTGGCCGCCTCTCCGTCCCTGCGGGTCATTCCCCATGGCCGGACGTTGCCGTGCGTGGGACAACGCCAGCCACAATCCCCCCCCCCCCCGGCCCCTTCCTTTCCCTCATCTTCTTTCGGCAAGGAGGCGTTGTTTTTTTCCGGTGCCGCTCTCTCCGGGCGCTTTACACTCACCACCCCCACTGCCTCTCCCCCCACACGCTCCGGTGGCCTAGCACAGGACCCTCTTTGATAACAAACCTCGAGACTCGGCCAAGGCTGCCCCGTGCGAGTGGCCCAGGTTGGACGCTGACGCTGGATGCCGCCTGTCGCCTGCTGTTTTTGCTTACCGCTCACTGTCGCCCTCTCTCTCTCTCCCCCGTTCCACGGTCCCCCCTCCCTACCTGCCCTCTCCTCCGCATGGCCACCCTCCCCTGTCCCTGTCTCTCCATCCTTGTCTCCCTTCCCGTGTTCATTCTCTCCCGCCGTGTCTCCCGGTCCTTCCCTGTCAATCTCTGTCCCTAACCACCCCCCCCCCCACCCCGTCCCTGTGTCTCCCTGCGTCTGTCACACTTGCCTTGCCTCTCCTCCTGTGTCCCTCGCCTTGTCTCTCCATCCCTGCATCTCCCCGTGCCTCCCGGTCTCCATCCCCGCCTCCCACGACTCCCGCTCCCTGCACGTCTCCCTGTCCCTCCCCTGTCGTCCCCCGTCCCCATTGTGTCCACGCAGCCTCCTGCGTGCGTGCGCCCCCTTCGCCGCAGGGGCCCCCGCTGGTCCCCGGGGCCCCGCCGCTCTCCCAGCTCCCCTCGGCCGT